TGGAATCAAATACAGTGAAAACAGGGGTTATACCATGGGGGAAGAACATACAAAAGAAACAAAAAAAATCACATAGTACACTATAAGAACATTAAAAACAACAGCAACAAAAGATAAAAAAAACCCTCTTGCTTTAAAATATCTCTGGAAATTAAATTACTGGACTAGAAGGTTTAAGCTCCTCAAGTCTCTGGATACTTATTGCTAAATTATCCTGTAGAACTACATGACAAATTACATTTCCAACGCATAGCAGAGAGCATTTCAGCCCAAAATTTAATCTATGTTGGACATGTTTTACATTTTACAATTTTACACTTTACAATTTAGTTATTGAATATATTTTAAATAACTAAATTGTAAAGTGTAATCTTTTACTCATTTACTTATTTGGGAAAGGCTCATACTGTGTAGCTCAGGGTGACCTCAAACCCTAAATTGTCCTGCTTTTATTTTCTGAGTGCTGGGATTACAAGTATATACAACAGTATCTATTCTACATTCAATATTAATAGGCAATATTATCTTCGGTTTTATTTTGCATCTGTTCAATGCCATTAGTGAGGCTCACAATTCTTTCTCTTGGCCACTTTTATCTCTGGATTGTTTATTTCCCCACTCCCCCCCGCCCGCCCCACATCAAGCCCTGGAGAACATGGGCCAAAGGCTGCTATTGCACATTTAAGTTTAAAATACACAATGTCCTGGATTCAGTCCCTAGCACACACACAAAAAAGAATGGGGAAATAGGGATTATTTTAGTTGAAGAGCTCCTGTTTAGCATGAGAAAGCCTCAAGTTTAATATCTCAGATATATTCTTTTTTTTTTTTTTTACCATCAATACAAAATAAAACTGAAGCTGTGTGGAATGAGCCTTTTTATATTAGAATTGTAAAGAAGGCTGTCTTGCACAGTGGGCTCCTCTCTGTAATCCTGGCTTTTCGAAAGGCTTAGATCCAGAGCATAGTGACTGAGGCTAAGAGACTCAATCCCAAATAACTACCTAAAAGCAGAAATGGATGCATGGCTCAACTAGTAGAGCACCAGCCTAGCATGGGGATAGGCCGTGGGGTCAGGTCTCAGTTCAGTAATGTGAATATAAGTATTTTCATATCTCTTTTGGTATTATTTTTCTTTTTCAGTCTAAGTTCCTCCACAGTGCTTAGAGGAAACACAGTGTGTTCAGATCTTCTCTTTCTCCATCTCCAGACTCCCTACCTGTAGAGCATCATTACCTGTTTCTGTTACTTTATCTTGCTTTCCACATTGAGTCTTCTCAACTTCTTTTGCTCTCTGCTGTTCATGATTTCTGCCAGGCTTTCCCTAGGTTAATCATGTTCCTTGCTTTACTTCCTGACTTTGTTTGGCTGTTCTGAATTTTCTCCATGATGCAGTAAGAATTTTCACTTGAGCACGCTACAGTTTTGGCAGAGGAGACATGTAGTTTTAGGCCCTTTTCTTATAATTTAAAAGAAGCTATTGAGAAATACCATTAAAATAAATCTTTTTTTTTCCTTACAGTACTGAGGATGAAACCCAGGGGCCTCATGCATGCTAGGCAAGTGAGCTACTACTGAGCTAAACCTTCAACCCATAAAATTAATCACTTTAATGCATTATTGAAGAGGGAAAAATAACTTTAGCACAAAAGAAGCTCATTCTGTTCCACTGACAAATAACACAGGTGAAACCTTGGTTAAAAAGGTTGTCACAGACAGCAACAAGTATACTACCAGTCTACATAATGAAGGCCCAAGTTTCTTTGCCTATAGTCAAGAAATACGCAATTCATCAAAAGAAAAATAACCAAATGAAAGTCATAGATATCTTCTGTTTCATCATCATAAAAATTATCTTCATTTCCAACATGCAGCAGCAGAAACTCAAATATGTACTTTGTGAAAATCTGAATATACATTCTTTAGAAGTATAATTCAGCTCTGCTGGTTATAACAAGCTTATATTTGTCAAGTGGTTTTAATGCTTTACTGAAAAGGTAATGATAAACAACATTGCAACTGTGAGATTCACTATTCCTTTGGAAAATTTCATGACATGCCTCTTTGGCAGAGCAGGCCCCTGGAGTAGTAGTGTGGATATGAAATGAGAATATTATTTCAGTGATAATATGCACTGCTCAGAGGAAAGGGAAGACATGTGGGCCTACTGATGTTTTTTATTTTCCTTCTCAGAGAAATTAACTGAGTAAGAAACCATGTAGGCAGGCTGTTCTCAACGTAAACTTGATCATGGGGGTGGAACTTAATATTCCAAACGTTTGCAATATTCATGAGAAGTGTTACATTGTGAGCTTCCTGTTTGGGGTAGATGCCTTCATTATACTAATGGGGAAACTGAGGCTCAGAGATATTAAAAACAAAAAAATAAACACCCAAAAACTGATGTCTTAGTCAAGTACAGAAGGCATGGAAGACTTAAGGGAATTTTGAACCCTAGTTTTAAAGATGTCAATCAGATCTGTCCTTTGTGGATTCCAAGGTGATTGCAAAATGACTCTTGACAGATAAAGTGGCTTAGAGCAAAGATACACACGAAATAGAATAGGTATGCCAAGTGTTTCTCCTGCTTTTAGTGAATTTATGGGCTCAAGCAAATCATCAGTGTGTGTGTGTGTGTGTGCGTGTGTGTGTGCGCGCGCGTGCGTGCATGTTTCAAAACCACCTTTTAAGTACTCCTCCCATTTGGATTCACCAATAAATGTCTTAAAAGAGTTCCCTAATATGGTTAGCTTTGCCTTTTTAGTTCTCAAAAGAACTCCTTGAGATGGACATCTGTAATTCTAGCACTTGGAAGCCTGGGCTACATAGTCAGGACCTCAAAAACTAAAAACAAAACAAAACTTCTTGAAAAGATGCTGTATTGCAGGTCTCAGATCTTGTCCTAAGTGGGATGTTCTAAAACAAAGTAGAATGGTTCCTGACCACTCCCCTCTTTCTTCTTTTAGGCAGAAACCACTTTAAGTTTTTAATATTTTTACCTGACATTTACATTTCTCTAAAATTCTCCAGAGCAATAAGGTAAGTTACATGGTATTTAGGATCTTCTAATCCACATTTCAGACTGGCTCTGAGATGCGAAGTACTTTCACATTTGATGTTAAACAAGTATTTAAGAACTCACCAGAAGAAGACAAATAACAATTATTAAGCCTTAATTCCTTGCAAGGTCTTTTCATACATCTCATTGACTTAGATAAAAAGACTAAATTACCAGGATATGGCTTATTTATTTAATTATTTATTTTCCCAAGACTAGGTCTTGCTATGTAGCTCAGGCTGCTCTTGTACCTCAGCCCACTCCCTGCTGAGATTAGAGTTGTGGCCATTATGTTCAGCCTCAGCCTACCCCATTTGTAAGGAAATAGAAAGGCTTGGAAAAAACTCATTTAAGTGAAGAAAGCCAGACCCAAAAAACGTAGGTCCATAGTTTCCCTTATTTGCAATAATTAGTATACATCTAGGATAATCTTAGAAGATGAGCTGAATAGCTCAGTAGCTATGTACATATGATCATATAAGACGATACTAAGCAAAATGAATTCTAAGACATGGATACAAGAGGTTTTTCTTTGCTGTTGTTTTTAACGTACTATGTGATTATTTGTTTCTTTTTGTATGTTTTCTCCCTATGGTATATCCCCTGTTGTCATTGTATTTGATTTTGGTGCCCTGGTATTGTATATACATTTATTTGAATTAGGGAGGGGAAGGGGAACAACAGAATGGTGAGACATAGGACAAGAGGGGAACCAATGCAACAGTGATATACACAAGACAATATGTTGGAAATTATCTGTACAACTTGGGGGGGTTGTAGGGGAGGAAAAGTAGGAGAAAAATGAGGGAAAGGGTAACAAATTTGACAAGAAATGTACTTATTCCCTTACTTATGTTACTGTACCCCTTGTACATCACCTTGACAATAAAAAAAGAATTTTAACTGATGTTATTTTCACTTGTAGAATCCAGCAACACTTCAATTCTGTAATATGGGATATGTGTTTTGAGCATAAGAGCTGTTGTTTATTTTTCTTTCTTTTTTTATATAGAAGGGATGGAAAAGGTAGAAACAAAGAAAAAAATAAACCTTTTTTTATAACCCCACTTGAAACTAGTTTAAGAAAAGTTGACTATTTCTCCCTTTCCATTCTCAGGGAATGAATTTATTTTTGGTTTGGTGTCATGGGATTTTGATTTCTAGTCTAGTCTTTTGGAGCCCAGTTTAAGGTGTTAATACAATCCTCTTCTATAAAATGAACATTTGACACCTTATCTGATGGTAAGTTTTCTATGGGTACTACCTGGGTTCCTATTGGTCAAGTGCTTAGCATAAATCCAGAAGTGTTTTGCTACTGCCTTTTCTGTTGCATGAGGGTAGTCCAAGAAATTCCAAACATATGCTCTTATAATCATTAGCAGACTAACATCCTTCAACAGCTTTCTGTTGATTTTAGTTAAGGAACAAGGACACAAACTTCACTTAGGCCTAAACTTCCCTAACACGTGGCTATGAGATTGCAGGCTCTCAAGCCAGCCTCCTAAATCCTTCAATACACAGACCTCTGGGACTCCGGCCTGAGATCATGGATCTCTGGTTGGATGGCCTCAGCTTCCTGGGTCAATCCTGTGGCAATCATCAGGACAACAAACACTCCCTGGGGACAACTGGAGTGCCAAGACCGTGAGGCTAAGGCAGCGCTGGTTTTGTAACCATTGTAATCGGAGAAGGCACAATGAGCAGGCCTGCTGGAAGAGAAGCTGGTTAAGAGCGGGGTCAGAGGTCTCCAGCACCCTGGCAGTATCCAGGAGCAAGGAAATGAGCGCGCAGCTGCATTATCTGGAGGGGGCGTGGCCTGACAGGGGCGGGGCCAACTAGAAGGCGTGGTTAACTGGCCCGATTAGCCCGAGGGCGTGGCCATCAGGCAGAGGGCGTGGCCACCGGGAAGAGGGTGTGTCCTTCCATTCCGCCTCCTCCCGCCCCTCCGGCCCCGGCCGCCCCTGCCCGCGCGCCCCGCTCTCTGCCCCGGTTCCTGGTTAAGATGGCGTCTCCCGCGACCGCGCACGCCGCGAAACTTCTGCGAAGCCCAGCACTCCAGGCCCGGTTCCTGGCCGCCAGGTCCCAGGTGAGCGCGGCCCGGGACCCGGAGCCGCGGGGGAGGCGCTGGCCGTGGTGGCTGCCTGCCTGGTTCCCTGGCGCTTTGCTCCTCGGGTTTCCCTCCCGGCCCCGGGGC